TATATGGTATTAGACTTGAGATAATGAAAGCTCATGGATGAGACTTGGGGTGGTGTACCTTTCATAATGTGAATGTCTACTCTATATTATGTGGTAGGTTCGGATTGACCGATGATGCCTATAAGTACGTGTTGTTTGTACCGATATTACTCTTGCTATGCCACTTGGCATAGTCTGACTGCAGGGTCAGTTTCATAGGTGCAGATGACGATGATCTCCAACAACTTCCATGTTTCATTTCTTTATGATGGAATTTGTGTTCTATTTTATCGTATAAACTGTATTTTCTTAGTCGCTTTGTACCTGTTTAGACTAGTTCCTCGAGGGTTGTTTCTCAATATTTTGAAGAAAAAAAAGTTTATTTAAAGTTTTGTTCTTCCCAAAGTTTATGAGCTTTGTAGTGAAAGATTTATTCTTCCGCTTGTTTACTCCGATTTGAATGGTAAGGGTTCTCCTATCTAGATGTTATAATAACTACCCGCACGACCGATGAATTGAGTCGTCACACTTTAACTCCGCCACTAGCTAGTTCATTGATGTGCACAAACTATTCAAGGTGAACAGAATTTTTTTAATTGATTTCATTTATATACATAATAATCTAAATAATTTTTTAAATTATAATGATAATTTAATATGTGATAGCAGATTATACAATTTTTACTATAGGTTGCCAATCAATTAATCCTTATAATATAGAGATATATTTGTAATCTCTCTACAAGTACTCTAATTATATATATATATAAAAGAAATAAAAAAATTATTGGAGATGGGCTCGTAGCACTATGCCCATATAAACTCCTTAAAAACTAACGATTATTTTTGCGAATTTATCGGTTTGACAACAAATCCAATGATTAACTTTATTGAACAAAGTAATTAGATGACTCTTGGACTAATTGAAGGACTAATTTTTATGTTTTTAATTAATAATGGTTCAAATTGTCACAATTTGTGCAACTTTCATGTAGTACTTGATGTACTTTAGTTTAAAACACAAGTCACCACTCACCACAACATTTGAGATTATTTTTTTCTTTTAAAAAAAAGGTGGGGTGGGGTGTGTGTTATGTGTCGGCAGTTTGAATTCATGCTGAAAAGTCTTATATTAGAGCTAAAGCGGTCCAGTCCCTAGCTAATAAAGGCGATCTTGCACCAAGTAATGCTCGAACCTCTGAAAATGAAGGAATATTTACAACTCTACCATAACCCTTGTTTGGCGTATATTAACATCAATTATACTAATTGAATAAATGAAAATAAATTTAAAATTGTACGCCATGATGGTATAAGAAACATTCATAGAATAAGATCATTTATAAGAGATAATTATAAGTAAATTTTAATGATAAATACCAACTATGCTAAAATAATACTAAATGTTAAAATATTAAACAATATTAGGCGAGTTCAACGCATTAAACTTTCGTTATGCACGACTTTGGGAAAGAATCAGATCATAAGTGTCTATTAAACTATAATAGTAATATAATTTTTTTTTAATCTTTTTACACTATACATAGCACATACTCTCTCTGTCCCAATTTATGTGACTTACGAAACTTTTTAGTCAGTGCCAAAAAGAATGATACATTTCTATATTAAGTAACAATTTCACTATAAAATGTCTATTTTACCCATAATGAAATTATTTACAGTCACACAAATTTCTATCATTCATTTTGGACCACAAGTTTTAAAAGTCTTCCTTTCTTTCTTAAACTCTGTGCCGAGTCAAACTACCTCACATAAAATGGGACGGAAGGAGTATAATTTAAAATTCAATGAAATATAGTGGTAACTATAGCTAGGTGAAAACATGGGATTTTGTATGATTTTGCTACAACATTAATATAGAATTCAGCCATAAAAAATGATGTTATGCTGGATAAAGGAGGTGCAACATTTGTTGTTTTCCCCCTTATTTTGAGAACCAATGTAAAAAAAAGTGGACACTTTCACTTGTGATCGAAGGTGCAATTCTAAATCATGTATGATATTTAACTATGGTTTGAAGTAAAAATTAATGTTACACTATTTTTTAAACATCATTTGATATTGGAAATGAATTGTTCGACTATTTCAGATTTACATTTTATAGAACCTATTTAAAAAGAAAGTACTCTTTACTAGAAATTTCTATATTCTCAAAATTCAAATTTAAAAGTTTTGATTAAGAATGGAGGAATCGGATTTGATTCATCCAATCACATCTTTTGATAATAAAAAAACATATCGGCCACTAACATACAATATTATGATTTCATGGCCAATCGAACGAAAATATAATATATCGTGGGAAATTAAGGTTAAAATCTTATTAGAGATGCAAGAAAATTTAAGTGATTTGTTTTGGTTGATCAGTCTAAGATTTAGTAGACAAATATATTTAAGAGCTATAATTAAAGATAAATACTCAATAAATTAACTAAAGTGTAATACTATTCTATTTTTAAAAAAATATATCTTTGACCACTGTAATTTTGGTTTTGTCAATATGCCATTTATTTTGTAGCACACTATTTAACTGCTTTATAAGATAAATAAATAAATCATGGATAAAGATCTCTCTCTGTTAGAACCTGCACTATTAGAAGCATCTCACCCTTCCTAATTTAATAATGAGTATGGCGGAATAAATATGATTCTTTTATTTTGAATCAGGGTTACACGTTTAAGTTTTGCGTGTAAATTTTTATTTACTCTTTAAAGTGTGCTCGGCATGAAGAAATTTAATTTTGTGTGCTCGGCATGAAGAAATTTAATTTTCTCATATTTTATTGGTTATTTTTAAAAAAAATTAATTAATTTAAAAAAAAAAACAAGTTTCAGTGAAAATAGAGCAAAACATGTTGTATAGTGGCATTCTACAATGATATTTAACTACGTAATATACTGATTTTTCAGTATAATATTTTGGAAATTTTGCTTACAAATCGATCAAAAGTAAATAAAAACAAACACACTTATTTTTCTTCCTATCAATTGGGTAGAATTTGCCCCTTAATGGTCCTTACACGTATAAATCTAGATTAATCGAAATTCCAAATAAGAAAAAATTATCTCACCCTATTTTACTCGAAGACCAAGATGCTCAAATTTTCAAACTGATCCCATCATTAATCAGATTTTATTTTCAATCTTTAATTAGAATTAAACCCTTTGGAATAATACAAATTTTAAAGTATTATTTATATTACAAATCGTCTTTAAGTTTTATTTTTTAATTTAAAAAAAACGAGTATAGGTCAGAGAATACTTGCAGATTTTATTTATTTGTTTATTTTAAAAAAGAAGATATTTATTTATTTTTAAAAAAAGATATTTATATTTTTGCCTTTTTCCGTACCTAATGACTGACTGCAGAGTTGTAATGCCTATATTCACGGTGACTTGCAGTTGGGATCCATTGAATGTCATTAACACTTGGATTAATTTAATTTAACTTATTAAACTAATCTTTTTCTTCCTAAAATTGTGAATTCCATAAATATCCCTTACGAGGGCATAGACGGATTCAAAATATGAAGTTTATGTATTATTAATTACTACCATAATGTCGAATGAACTAGTTTGACAATCAAATATGCATAAAATATGAGTACAAATTATTGTTTTCTCGTGACCTCGTAAGTTAACCTTTAGGTCTGCCAATGATAGTAGGTCCTAAATTACTTGTCAATATTGATGCTAAAAATCAAAAAAAATATCAAGCAATCAGAAATTAAAGATCGTAACTTATGATACAAATTCCTATTTTTCTAGTACTTGACAAATTAATTTATGCATATTTGGTAGGTCAATAAGCATATATACACGCTTTGATATGTTTATTAGGTATGGTAGGTGCTAAATTTGGTAATTTAAGTAGAGTTCCAAGTGATATGTACCTTAAATTATTTTGTAAACTTTTTCAAATTTTATTTTGTTAATTGAGTGAACTCGTAGTTGTTATTCTTCGGGTGCATATAAGGTAAATTTTGCTCTAGTATAAGAGTCCACAAATTATATAGGAGAGGTAAAATGCATTAGATAAGTAAGCCATGTGCGATAAGCTCAGGAAATTTCGAATCTGTGACCTTCATTTTGGGAGATCACTTACTCAACCAACTCTGTCACCCTTTTGAGTTTATAACCTTTTACAATTAATATTGATTGAGACCTTAAAAATATCAAATTATTTGTTATAATAAGTAAAATTACATTGATAGTATAAAATATCTTGAAGTTGTTTGAACTCTCACTTTTCTTTTACACACTGCACGAAATGGTACAAGAAATCCACAATTATTGCATTTTATTCTCAAAATTATTACACTCAATGAAGGCATCCTAGGTCAAATAATTTTGAATATAATTTCTATATTTTGGTAATGTATGTAAAATAACTTTTAATAAAATAGAGGCGAATTCAGAATTTTAATTGATGGATTTATTCTTAACACTAACTTCATATATTTTTAAATTATGAGTTCAAAATCTAATATTTATTAAAATTTTATTGTTTTATGAATGTATATCTATTCTTTATGTTAAATTAAAATTCAAAATTGAGTTGAATCCACAACGCTAAAGTTATATTTGTCATTGACCTAAAAGAGAACAATAGATAATCATCCATATAGGGGTTCAATAGAATCCAACCATTTTTATTCAAATTATATATTTATGTTAAAACTTCACTAAATATATACACATAAATTAAATTTAAAATCTGGATATTTAACATTTGAAGTCGTCATTTTATAAAATTCAGAACTCATAAATCTGAAATTCTAACTTCACCGCAATAAAGGTGGTAAGAAAAAAGTTCCTCAAACTATAGTTAGTGAATACAAATTAAATTATTCCTAAAGGGGTACTTTGGTCATTTCACTACACATTATTGTTTGTCCACACATGAGTATGATTGTTGCTATATAACATCCCCCTTTCCAATCCAATCAACTCAATGTTATCACATTCAAAAAAAACCTTCACACAATTTATTCATTTTTTCTCTCTTTCTCTAAAAAAGAACTTTGATTTGATTAATTTCATCAAATTATGGGAAATAGTTTAAGGTGTTGTTTGGCTTGTGTTCTTCCTTGTGGTGCACTTGATTTAATTCGTATTGTACATTTAAATGGTCATGTTGAAGAAATTACAAGTCCAATCACAGCCTATGAAGTTCTAAAAAATTACCCTAATCATGTTTTGAGTAAACCATGCTCTCAAGGTACAATGGCTCGCCGGATTCTGATCTTATCGCCGGAATCCGAGCTCAAAAGGGGAAGTATATACTTCTTGATTCCGGCATCTTCTGTCCCACAAAAGAAAAAATCCGGGATCACATCCTCCTCAATCAAGAAATCACCAAAAAATACTATTACTACTACAAAATCAACCAATAATAAGAAATGCCACATCAGCATCCCCGATGATCACGATTTTTCGAGTGATAGTACAATGCCAAAATTAAAGAAGTCATCATCTCACCGGAGGAGTAAGAGCGGGAAGGTTGTTGTGTGGAGGCCTCATCTCACCAGCATTTCTGAAGACTAAAGTTTGTTTTTGGTACGAAAGAAAGTCAATTTTTTTTGTTTACCCTTATCATAAGGGTGATTTTCTTTTCTTTGTTTTTGTTTTTTTTTCTCACTTTTTAATATTTGTAGATATTTTTAATCCTTTTTTAATGTTTATTTATTTTCCATCTGCATTTAATAGTAGCAGATTTGGATTGAAAAGGGATATTATAAGCCCAATGAAATTTATGAGAGAGAGATTGGAGAGTGCTTATGGAAGTTGTACTCAAAGATGAGGATATTGTACTTTGAACTCTCTTCAAAAATAGAAGAGGGTGAAAAGTATTGTTTTTTGTTTTTTTCCTCTTTCTTGTAAATTTTTGGGGCTTCACAATATGAACTTTTTATAATGTTATACAAGAGTTTCCTCCTTTTGAGAAATCAATTCAACTTTAATATATATATATATATATATATATATAACTTGTATTTTGTATATATGTTATTTCTTCTATAATTTCTCTAAGGTATAATTTCGATGTTTATGCACATTGATACTTTCATAATTTAGACGTTGTGTGAGGTTCAAAATTTCAGATTTGATATGTTAGGTTTCTGCCAAGTTCAACAAGCGAACACATTTTGATTATTCTAATTTCTTGATCCTAAGTCCCAAGCAAAACATAAAGTCGATTTTAAGTTGATTTGAAATAAAAAGTAAAATTTTGTTGCGTAAAATGGCAAATCTAAAATCTAGAGATTGTGATTCTGAATTGAGAGAGTATTCAGTTCTAGAATGTATATTTAACTTTGTTTATACCTTTTTTCACACATATGTATGATTGCGACACTAATTAAACGTTGAATTTCTATCAAAACTCATAACCGAACACATTGTCGATCCGCAACTCTATATTGTGTGTAAAAATTCTTTACACTATTTTCCTTCACATTTTTCATTGTGGGGGGTTGGTTTTCATGATATGAAGAAATTAAACTAGTAACATGGTTTGAAATACTTAATTAATATCACTAATTGTCAAATTATATCAATCATAATTAGCTAGGGGGGTTACATTATTTTATGATTTGGATGATCTGGAAATAATTAGTTATGTAGTCGTGTCACGGGCACCTATGTAGGCCAAATGGGGGAATTAAAACCATGAAACTATTCAATGTTCTCTTTTTCTTTAATACTATCAAACTTAATTAATAATTTAGCTGTCATTTAATTAATAAAATAGGTTAACTTCAATGATTGTTTTGATAGTTAGCTTAGTAAATAATTTCCTTCTTACCTTTAATGTAAAGCAATTAGTTATATTATTTCTTTGGTTTCTCATCCAGTGTTTGGTATTCATATTGAAGTCTGACTAAATCTGGATTCAGGCCGGAAAGTCCTACATTGAGGGGTAAAACACTCTCTAACAAAGGTAACTTTGTACACACAGGGACTTGAACTGGCAAATTCCAGACCTTTGATTAAGAATGATAGAATATTTAATTTATCACTCCACCACGATCCTGGTCAATAAAAAAATTAGTTATATACAAAGGAAGAAGTTAATTAATTTAATTTTTAGCAATCATAGTGTCATTAATAAGCATGTGTAATGTTGGTCAAAGTGATAACCAGCTGCGATGGCTTACGCGGGGTTCCTTTTTGCTAAAGACTTATATCTATGAATGATTAACATAAACATAAATGGCTAAATGTTAAAGATTTTATATTATGTTAATATTTAATATATCATCTTATTTAATATTTAATATTTAATCGTTTGGTACGTGTATTAAATTATTTTGAGATTATAATTTTTGAACTAATTTATCTCATCTAGAAGATAAGATAAATGATGCAGAGACAATAATGTAATATGAATATTTATAACCAACACTCAATATAAATGCCGCTAAAGATTTTAGCAACTCTGGATGCAACGACATTAACTCAATTGTCACTAAAAGAAAAATCTATTGCCAATATATATATATATATATATATATATCTTGCTCTAGTAAATTCTAAATTTGACTATTACTACGTATATCATTATTTAGTACTAAGGGTAGTATTAGAAAAAATAATAATAATATTCTCTTAATTTGCTAAAATGGACAAGTAAAATAAAAAATCTATGTTCAATATAGAAGCTATATAAAATGATGAAATAAATGGAGTATAATACATGGTATGTAATTTGTTATAACAAGTTAAACTATATTAGTTATGGTTTTTTTTTTAAAAAACTGATACAATAGCCACTCACTTTAAAAAATAAGCATTATATTATATTGTATATATACCCTAGAGTTTCTTAAATATGTTGACAATTTCCTTCTTACTTCTAAAGTAAAATCAAATACTAGTTATTTAAAAAAGAAGTTAATTTATCTATAGCTAGCAATTATATTGTCATTAACAACAATGTGTAATGTTACTCAAAGTGATATCTTGCTTTTATGGCTTGTGTGGGATTTCTTCAAGTTTTTGCAACAAAGGTGTTATTTATTATCGATCGCAGAGTCAGAAGTTATACTAAAAGAATTTAAAATATAAAAAAAAATATTATATAAAAAAAAATATGAATTATATATCTTATTTGTATATATTTATATCTTACTCGTATATATGTCATGCTTGAATTGATGGTACTTCAAACTTTATAGCCTTATCTCTTATTATTATTATTATTATTATTATTATTATTAATTTATTTTAAAAGTTTATTATAAAGTATATATATGGAGTAGGAATAAATACAAAATAATTGAAGATGGGGACAAAAACGGTGCAAAATAATTGAGCCGTACACTAATATACATGCATGTATGTATACTTCCAAAATTAGGTCCATGTTACAACCAAATAATAATTATAATATTACTATTATTATAATAATTAGAGAATGACAAAAATAGCTGGAACAATACCAATTAACTAAATAATGTGTCTCAGATCTCACATGATTCCCCACCCCCAATTCCGTGAGATTATGGATATTTTTTCGTCCTAATTTATGCGATACAATTGAAATTTGATAGTCAATCAAACAAGTTTAGACTAAAATTTATTTATATGTTTTTAAAATATTTTAAATTTTTAATTATTTATTATGATTTATAATATTTTTTACAAAATTTTCAAATATATTAATATTATTAAAAAAAAGTTAAAGTTTTTTTATCCGATTTCATGAAATTTCAGTATCACATAAATTGGAAAAAAAATATGTTGTTTATAATTGGGATGTCGATTTCTTCGTGAAAAATATTTACTCGATTGCTATATTTCTAGAAAATTTCTAATGGAAAGTATTAGCAAAGAGTCAATTTTGAAAGAATTTATTATCAAATTTATATGTAGTGCGCACGAACATATTATTGTGTTTGAATTTCTTTTAGACAAATAATACTTTTGGACCTCAGTCACTAATAAGTTTTAATTTTGATCCTTGTATTATTTAGTTAAGTATATTTAACTTCTAATCAACTAAAATATGTATTTTTGATCCCATTTAAGAAATATGTAATATTTATTAGACTGTTTTTTTAACTATATTTTCCTCAAATATGGAGTAATAATATAAATTTCACATAACACGTAATAATTGAATAATCTAATACTTAATAATTCGTTAAATTTGTGGAGATACACCGATAAAAGAATCCAAAATACGCATATCAATCAATTAAAGATTACATATGCTCAACCTCAAAAGTCACAAGGACCAAAATAATTAATTTGTTGATAATTGAGGGACTAAAAATGCTAAGTTTCCTTCTTTTGGGTGGGTGGGTAGATTGCTAGAACATTAGAACCTTTTTACATATTGTGTCAAGGTTCTTACTCGTTCCGTCTCAATTTACATAATGTTGTTTGATTCGATATAAAATTTAAGAAAGAAAGAAATACTTTAAAAATAGTTATCTAAAACAAGTCATATATGTTTGCATAACTATAAATCATCTCATTAAGGATAAAATAGAAATTTATATAGAAATATATCATTCTTTTTAGGACTGACTAAAAAGAAAAATGTATCACATGAGATTCAAAGACGTTGAATTGTAATTACCTCTAAAAATAAATAAATAAAAAGCTAACATAGTAAGTATTCTTTAAGAAGTATAGTTATATATTTTTATTGATTCCAACAACTTTGGCAATGAGATTATTAATTAATATTAATAAACAAAAAGAAGAATATATAAGTTGGGATCAAAAGATTTTGTAAACCCAAGTTCACGGCCTTCATCCACAATTCACAACTCACCTCACAATTCCCAAGGAAATTAAGAACTTGGATTGACTCTCTTAATATATATGTGGGGAAGTCCATCTCTAGATTCAAGAAACTAGTAGGTACTATTCTATACATTTTGTCAATCTTGACACTTGTATCATATCTTTGATAGAAGATTGTTTGAATGGGGACGGAGTCAGAAATTTTAATAAGGAGATTCAAAAGTACTAAATATAAGAATGTCAGATAAGTGAAGTTTGTTTTAGTCGTTGAATACCTCCATCATCAATCAACAGTGTGACCATTTGAATCATATTGAAGGGTAAGTGGGAATACTATCCATTTGAAAATTTTAATAAGGAGATTCAAATATAAATATAAGAATGTCAGATAAGTGAAGTTTATTTTAATCGTTGAATACCTCCATTATCAATTAATAGTGTGACTGTTCGAATCATGTTGAAGGATAAGTGGGAGCACATTTGGGATGGAATGGAGAAAAAATATGTAAGAATGTCACACTTGAGAACTATTTTTGTTTCATCAAAGTCATTGAATCTATATACTTCATATGTTCTATATTATGTGATGTATTTTTTTATTTTTTGAGATTTTAAAATGTATTTTTTTTTTCATCGTATTAACATGAAAAGATTTGCAATTTATGGTACTTTTCGACTAATTTTGAATATTTTAATTTTAAATTATTGAATTTAATTTAACTTTAAAAATTAGTCAGATTCACTCTTGATACGTTAAAAATATAACAAAACGAATTCGTGTTAACTTCGCAGAAGATACAATTACTCGTTGAAAAGTAAAAAAAATTGGCATCGCAAAAATGATATGGAAATATTGCCACATCAACAATTCGACATTGTATGCAATGTGCATGCCATGTCATCTTACTTTTAAAAACATTTTTCTTGTAGCGAGGATATTCACTGTACACTAATATAATTTTCTAACGAAAAAATCAGTTAAATCATTTGTATCATATGTAGCATGACACCTAACAATAGAATTATAAAACTAACGTTATGATAGTTTGTAAACTCCAATAGAATCTCTAACTCAACACCTTGTGTTGTAGTACCACTTGTAAAAGGTTTGAATAGTTGTTTCGTGTTTTAATTAGGTATATTTTTGTCTAGATATTATTTACACATTAAGAAATGATTATTTCTCAATTACATTTCAAATGGTGGCTAAATATTGACAAGCAACCAAAAAAACTAGTAAACCAAGAATTTTTTTATGAATTTATGAATACATACAAACCCATAAACTTTAGCTCGAATCCTGTATATGTGTTTAAAGATCTACTAAATAAGAACAAGTAGTAGAATTAGTAGAAATGGGGCATTTTGGACATCCCAAAAGGGAAAATTGTGGTACAAATTGGGACAAAAACAATTCATATTGGAATATAGTCTATACCTATATATCAAAGATGTTACATCAGCCGTGTCAGATTCTCAAGAAATGCACTTTTTAAGCTTTTTGAAAAGTCCAAGCAACATAAAGGTCTATACAACTATAAGTTAATCCTTCTCAAATGTGTAGACTCTTCAGAATCCGACATGCATGTGTCGTCATTTTTTAAGAGCCCAAGAAACATAGGTCTATACAACTATAATAAGTTGATCATTCTCAAATGTGCAAACTCTTCGGGATTCGATACACACCCATCGACACTTTTGAAGAGTCCAAGCAACATAGAGGGCTATACAACTATAAGTTAATCCTTCTCAAATGTATAGACTCTTTAGAATCTTCGACATGCACATGTTGATATTTTTGAAGAGTCCAAGAAACATAGAGGTCTATACAACTATAAGTAATCCTTCTCAAATGTGTAGACTCTTCAGAATCTCCGACATGCACATGTCGTCATTTTTTAAGAGTCCGAGCAACATATAGGTCTATACAACTATAAGTTGATCCTTCTCAAATGTGTAGACTCTTCAGGATCATGAAGTTCCCATAATCTTGTTTGCTGCTGCACTACCAAAACTGAAGTCTCACTTTCAAATTCTGAGGCTGCAAGAACTCCTCCTACAACACCTAATTCACTATCCTCATTATCCCTCTTTGCCAATTGTAACAAAATTGGCAAGTCTACGTGACGTCTACCAACGATAACAAGATCATAAAAACATCCCAACGATTTAATAACTTCTAACACATCCGCGCCTCTTTTCACCTCTGCTTCTTGATAAGAAACTTGTTCCGAATGAAGGAATTGGAGATTGAATTCATTCAAGATTTGAGAATCAAGAACCTTACTTCTCTCCGAGCCACCAACAATATTTTCGTATGCATTACCTGATCTTGTGAAATGTATGAGTGTCATTTTCACACTAGGATGTCCAGACATTCGTTCTGCATATGACAAAGCTTCGCGATCATCTGCTCCACCAAAAAATAGTACCACAACTCAATATAATGATGGTACATTCTTATTTCTATATTATGTTGCGATCTGAATTTCAATATTTACCACCAACTACCACCTTACAAACCTAGTATAGTTTTGAAAACAATTCAAAACATATTGATAAAGAAATGAATAAGTAGTTACAAGTCCTTGTAAAACGCTATATAAAGCATGACAAAACAGTTCGAAAAAGAGAGTAGTAATTATACAACACTCTTTTCACTTTTGACATATGAATCAATATGAAAATATGTACACAAAGAATCAAAGATTACAATTTCACTAATCAACTACCATTGATGTACTAGAATCCCAATATCTCTAAGAGAAGAATACAATTCCAAACATTGTGTATATGTCTTATCATATCTTTTACTATTATAATGACATTTAAGAAACAACTCATCAATCAAACAAATTGCACCATTCTCAATCAACTTTTCTATCATATGAAACTCACTCCCTTTTACATCCATTTTCACAACCAAATAATCCCTTTCATCATCAACCAAACTCATCAACCATCCAGCAAAATCAAACCCCATAATCTTATCCGAATCCCATAAGAAATCCAACGACGATTGTGCTGATTGTACTCTCCCCAGTCCTCGACCCTTCTCCACGTTCTTCCTAGTTTGTACTCTAGCTATCTCAAAGAACAACATCTCGTTCCTCAACCAAGCTGCATATGGCAAAAGATTGACACCCTTTCTCCTATACTCGTCGTGATATTCCCTATCACCCTCAATCGCGTATACCTCAAACGTCTTGTTCTGTTTCGGATACTGTTTGTTAAACCAACTACCAATGCTTGAACTATAACTCCTTGCTCCAACATCAACATATATGTACCTTTTCTTGAAGCTAATATCAACCATTGAAGACAAATACTTCACATTTCTCAATTTTATCCATGGTTTCAATGGCTCTTTTTTGATTAACGACTCTGCTTTTCGAATTAATTCCCTTTTGTACTCAGGGATAAAACAATAATTTTTCGATTTTTCGAAATCAACACATGTATTTTTCGTACAATGGGTGATCATAGGTTCAAATTGTGTCACCTTTTTGAAAATTACTTGGCGTATACGCGGCCGCCACGTTGCGAAACTGTCAATTTCAATTGAACTGATCAATTTGAAGGAACTGAACAATTGAATCAACGAATTGAGACTGTAATCATCTTTCGATATAGTGTGAATGACGAAAATACCCCCAGGCTTCAATGTTCTGGAAACTTCTTTAGCAAATTCAACCGGTTTCGAAGATCGGTCGAGTACTCCATTTCCGGCGAATTCGAAATGAAATGTGTTATCATCGAACGGCTGGTGATGACCGTGACCGTATCGAATCAACGGCGGAGATGATTTGTGGAAAATGCCGATGGAATCGATGACTCCGACGTCGATCAATGCTTCTACGTCTTGGCCAGTTAGGGTTTCAATACACAGAGAGTGAGAGTTGGGCGAGAGAAAGCCGTCGGCGATGAGATCTTGGAAGATGGAGTAGTAGTAGTTCCGGAGATCGGTGCCGGAATCCGGTAAATCAATGGAATTAGGATTTGAACCGGCGATGTTGAGAGTTAGAGTTTCCGGCAAGAAGCAGAAGTCGCCGGAGTTACATGATTTGCCTTTGACGGTGAAGATGTAAGCGAAACGAGCGAGGAAGACGAGAACTATGAAAGAGACGAGTCGGACCAGAATATTTCCCAGGAAGTTTGGCTTAAGTGTGAACGCCGCCATTGAAGGCATCAGAATGAGGTTGATTTTGGGGCCAAATGAATATTCTGAAAATGAAATATATTGGGCTTTTTTTTTTTTAAGGTTGGAAACCCATATATTCAATTTGGGCCTCAATGTGTTCGCTCAAATTCGTTGTATCAATGTATATAGTCGTGATGGATACGATCAAGATAGATAGTGTATATATGTGTTCGCTCAATTTCGTTGTATCAATGCTCAAAGTCGTATTGGATATAGTCACAATAAGATGTATCCGCGCGCTCAAGAAGATACAAATTTATGCATACTATATACAATCGTCTGCTATTAAAGATATATATAATATACCGCTAAAAAATGTCTATCTCTCATACAACGAAATACAATGACATTACATACCAAAAAAGGAGAAGAAAATGAGCCAAATCTATATATACAATATATAGTCGTTTGTCATTCAAGATACATAAAACAAACAGTTGAAGAAGAAGAAGAGGAAGGTGAACAAATTTATGTTATTCTCTCATATTTCTCTCTGATAAATTATATCAAGAATTTTTCGAATAATGCATTTTCCATTCATCAATTTTCAACTTTTATAAGTGTACATCATAACAATACTTATGTTTTAATTATATGAGTTGAAAGTGCTTATTAATGAATTTTACTTGAATTTATGTCATACAAAAACACCACTCGATAGAACATAGCATTTGGTTTGCTTTTCTTTCACTCTAATGGTAAAAGAAGAACTTTCAAAAATGACTACAGTTTGAACTTAATTAGAGATTTATAGTTATAGTTTATTTAATTACGATAATTATGTTAGAAGGAGGAGAGAGATGAGTGAGATTGAGAGAGGAAGGAGAAAGACGAGCGAGATCTAGAGAGAGGAGAGAGGCGGGAAGAGATACAATTATATTAAATGTATATTTCATCGATAGTTGTATATTTAATAGATAATTGTATCACGAATACATTTGATACAATTAATTTATATCAATGAAAACAATTGTATCAAAAGAAGCAGAAAATGACCCAAATCTAAACATATAATAACTTTTTATACAATTAAATTGTATTAATTGTATTGACGGATATAATTTGTACCAACAAATACAATTAGATCAATATTATATTTCGTAACAAATTGTATTTTGTGTTCATGTGTATTTGTATTCATCTATTACCTTGTGTATATGTAGTTATATTTGTATATGTTACCATCTGTTTCCTTGAGAAAGTTACCAATTGTATTTGTATCATTGAAATATATTATTTGTATTTTTGAATTATAGACAAGAATCTATATCATAGAAATATCTCATTTGTATTTGTATCACTGAAACAAGTATTTCATTAAGTGTTACCATTTGAATCTGTATCATTGCCACATGATCTGTATACAATTGTATTCTGTCAATTGCAAAGAGAGAGGAGGAGGCTAGCGATAGAGGGTAGAGAGATAGGCGAGAAACGAGAGAGGGCATAGAGGGGAGAGAGGAAAAAAGTTTTGCTATAAAATCCTAACTATTGTTCTATATTGTAGTTTATTTAAACTATAACTTTGTATCGCTGGATAATGCATAAAAATATTTAATAAAACTACGTAGTATGGTTTGCCCGCTAAAATAATAATTAGAATATATATAAATATATGAACATACATTTTACTATAAAACAATATATAGTTTTTATATATTTAACTACCATATAATGTAATTATTTTAATTGATCGATCAATTATGTAACTTTAAGGCGGTTCATTTTAATTGTCTCTTTGTTGATTCTCTATTGATATTTTTATTTATATTATTGAATTTGAAACAATCAGATTTTAAAAGCTATTTTCAAAAGAAGAAGAGGGAACATTACTTTAATAATTCCATTTAAACTAATTAATGAGCCATGTGAGGATGACTTGATAATATGAACAGCGTCTGGCTACATTAATTTATGTCGATCAAAGATTATATAATTATCATTTAGGAATTCAAGATTAAAAAAAATAGTATCTTCTACACCCAAAATAATCAAGTGCCGCTTTAGTAAAAAAAAAACAAAAAAAGTTATCCCGAAATAATTATTGCGTTAGAAATTCAAAAAAAAATAGTAATTCTTTTCAACTATATCCTCGTATATTAAAGAAATATTTCCTTTTAATAATTCTCAAAAAACATCTAATTAATAGAAATAATTTAGATAATAATACCTTATATTTATTATTTTCTTTTAATAAGCATAAAATAAACTAAAATGACACTTATTTAAGAACATATAGAAAAATTACTAAGATCAATCTTAATAATTAAAATATATGGTATTCTTGGATGATCCAGGAATATATTAATTATTTGACTTACATGAAAATATTTGTATTACAGCCGTATTAAACCAATTGTTTTAGTTTTACAAGAATAAAATCTCAGTACTTCAAAAGAATATTTCTTTTTTGTATTTTTCCAGACTAGACAAAAAGGGATCATTCAAATTCTATACTCGTGTAAAAAAAATAATTCTTTGATATATATAGCAATAACCAAAAATAATTGTAATTCAAAAATAAAAATTCTAACGTCATCCCTCACAGTGATAACAAAATGCATTGCAAGAAAATCAACCACTTATTTAGCAAAAATAATACACACTCGCACGTTTTAAGTTATTAGCCTTTTTTTGTTGTTGTTTTACACACCAATTAAAAAATATTACTTAGGAGAGATTTTTTATTATTTTAATCTTATTTATATTTATGTTATAATCTATTTAAGTTAAATGTTTACTCAATTTATGTGTCAACTACTTAAATAAGTGCTTCATTTCATCATAGCAACAAAAAATAGGGAAATTTATGGTAGTTTAGGAGCCGATTATTAAGATATATACACTCTAGTTTGCAATATCACGAATCTTGTTAGATTTTGGTGCGTCTACATATATATATCTCGAGATACATTGGATCAAAATTAAGTGTAATTTGTTCTAGATATATTATATTCAAGTAGATTCGCATGTATCTGGTGAGACACATTGACAATTCTAGTTCGCCGTATCTAGGATATATGACTATCTAACTCACCTCTCTCCCTATGTCTAATAAGATAGTTTTTCCACAAAAATATAGACCCGGTCATCAAATATCTTCCTTCGTATTTGGTCTCACCACGTATGTGTTATGATTCACTCTTTTCACTAGACTCAATTTTGCTTCATATAATTATTACTCCTTATATTTCAATTTGTATTGATATAATAAGTTATAGCTCTATAAATATTTGTGATTATCATATTCGAGAGTACTTAAAAATTTGAAAAAATGTGCATGAAATGCAGGGGCGGCTGGTAAGGCTTAAGAAAAAGTCTTTTGCCTTAGGCCTCCAATTTTAGGGGGGCCCATTTTTTAGTTAATTAGGTAGGATTAAATTTTAAAAAAAATAATATTAGAACTAAGACAATAAATGTAAAGGCCCCATTTTTTAGTTAATTAGAAAGGATTAAGTTTTAAAAAAAATTTGTTAGAACCAAGACAATAAATATAAAACGGCTCAATGAAGTGATAGTATGATAGATATGACTATGACTTTTTGACTTTTCAATAAAAAATTGTGTACTTTTTTTTTTAATGTACAAGTAATCTTTTTTTTTTTTTACCTTATTTTTTTTCTAATTTTATTTTTATATATTCTATCCTCCTCCCTTCTATTTCTTCTCACTTTCTTTTTTCTAATCTTACATCTCTTTCTTATTCAAAAGCTTAAAAAATTTACTCGTTCTATTGATAGTTTATATTTTAAATTTGGAGAAAACTATATTGCAGCAGCCCGATTCATTTTTGGAAATCAAGTCTTCATAACTTTTGAATTCGGTAATGTCATTCTAATTTCTAATATTATTTTTGTTTTGTGTCTTATGTTTATTATATTTTTTATTTGATATTGTAAATAGTGTTTTAAAATATTTGTTAGATTTTGATGTCGCTATAGATCAATTAAGAGGTTTAGTTTCTATTTTTAAAACATATAGAGAAGAAGGATTTACAAGCACTATGATTTCGGCTAAGGAAATTGCATTAGAGATGAATATAGAACCTGTATTTGTAAGAAACGTGTAATTTATAGAAAAAAACAATTTGATGAGAATGTTGATAATGAAATCACAAGATCTCTTAGAAAATCATTTAGAGTTGATTACTTCTTATACATAGTAGACCAAAGCCATCTTTTCACTTCAAAATAGATTTGAACAATTTGAAGTATATGGAAATATTTTTGGTTTTCTATTTAGTGGGAAAAAATTGAGATCATTAAATGATGAGAATTTGAAAAAATAGTGTCTTAAACTTGAATGTTCCTTAAAACATAATACTCACTCCGATATTGACGGTTTAGACTTATTTTCTGAATTAAAAGTGTTAAGGGAAATCATAAAAGTAGAAGACAATACTATAATTGAGATACTCAATCAAATAAAAAGACTTGATTCTTTTTCAAATGCTTACATTGCTTATAGAATAATGTTAACAATTCCCGTAACAGACGCCACAGTCGAAAAAAGTTTTTTAAAATTAAAAATAATAAAATATTATTTAAGATCGATAATGTCTCAAGAAAGATTAAGTGGTTTGGCTATAATATCGATTGAAAAAGAATTATTAGAAGAGATTGACTACACAAAAATTATTAACAACTTTGCATCTCAAAAAGCTAGAAAAATAGATTTAAAATAAAAATATTTATAATTTTTTTTAAGGCCTCTAATTTGATTTTGGCCTTAGGACACCAACGGATTTGAGCCGCGCCTGATGAAATGCAATACATATGGTTATTAATTTCTGATAAAGAGACAAGTTGGAGAACCATTCTATTTTTTGTCTTGTTTATATGGTACAGTCCATTTTGTATGTACACAAAATGAGTACATAAGACTTTAATTTTAGGTTCTTAATTATTTAATTTAATGGCACAGACTTGCATGTACACAAAATCAGTACATCAAACTTTAATTTAATTAATTAAATTCAG